CGGCCCCCGCCGTGGGCCAGGCCCGGGCGCAGCCTGCGAGGGAGCCCATCTGCCCGGTTCCCGGAGCGCCTCCGCCCCCGGCCCTCACTCTGGCCCCTGGCCCGCGGCCGCCCTGCTTCTCGGGTGGCCGGGGGGGCTGTCCAGCCGTCCGGCCTTGGACGCGGGCTCCTGCCGCCCGGCCCTTACTGCGCTCCTCTCCGCTTTGATTTGCCAGAAGCCCGCCTGTCCTTCCCCAGCTGACCCGGCTCTTTGGTGCCGAAGCCAGAGAACAGTAACAGAGCAGTTCTGCTTCCTTTTGGTTTTCCTTTCACAAAACATCCTCTACCCGGAGCACAGGGCCCCCCTGAGCGACCTGGTAAAATGTTTAACATCCATCTGCCCTAGTTTTCTAACCTGTAGCATGGAAGGTGGTAAAAAGGACACCCATCCTGAAGACAATTAAGGGTTAAATGGGGCAAGGACCTAAACTGACATCTGATTAGGGGGAAAGAGTTCTGTGGAAAGTAACCTCATAGGGTGATCTGATCATACATTTCTAACCGGGCAGGTCATGCTGGGCAGTCACGCGCCAGGCCACTTCTAGATGCCCATCTCCAGATCACTGACGCCTGACTGGTGACCATACTGGACCATCCCATCCTCGGACTAAAGGTGCAGGACTGACAGTTCTCCAGGCCCAGAGAAGCAACAGCTGACCTCAGGACCAGCTGCGCTGGATAATGACCCCTGCCCTGGTGCCGACCAGTCGATCAGTGGAGGCCACAACCCTGGAAGGACACTTAAACTGCTTAATACTCTATTAAGATCTTCCTCTGGAATCCCCCCTAAAATCTCCACCCTTAAAAGCCTTAGGGCGGAGAACCCAGTGCGCTTTTCCTCCTGGAAGGGCAAGCACACCAACCAGTGCCTTTCCCTTCCCCCTCCCCTCCCATCCCCCCAGGTACCTTACCATCACCTTCCTCACTCCCACGCTCCAAGGGCCCTTCCTTTGCCTCTATAACTTGTTTTCTTAAGCCCATTTCTTCTACAAATTACTCCTTTCACCTCTGCGATTTTACAAATAAATGTTCCCTTCTAGTTTGGTTCTTGGCTCTGAATTCATTCCTGGCCAGAACTCCAGTACCGAGGTTGCTGGACCCAGGTGTGGTCTGACCCCAATGGTCTAACACCTGTCACCGTTCCCTCCGCCTGCTACAAATCCACTGGATTCAATTCTCAGGAATCCTCTCCTTCCCTTCCCAACTATTTTTTTTTTTTTTAAATATATCTTTATTGATTTCAGAGAGAGGAAGGGAGAGGGAGAGAGACAGAAACATCAATGATGAGAGAGTCATTGATCAGCTGCAGCCCATAACCCGGGCATGTGCCCTGACCGGTAATCGAACCCCGATCTCCTGGATCCTAGGTCGATGCTCAACCACTGAGCCACGCCCGGCCGGGCTTTCCCAATTATCTTATTTCCTAGCCAGCCTGGGCACAGATCCTCCAGCCTACCCCCCAGCGCTCTTCCTCTTGGACGCACATGGGGATACAGGGAGATCCTGGCGGCTCAGGACCGGCCAGAGGGCTGCAGCAGACATTGTAAGAGGGGAAAGACTGACTGAGGAGGAGATCAGGAGGAGCTGGCTTGGGGAGGGGTAGGAAAAGCATGTAGAACTTTACCAAGAAATGTGTCTTCACTCCACAGTGAGTGTCAAGGCCATTAACGGACTGAGGAAGATGGGCTGCGGAGAACAGAGAGCTTTAAACGGGCAGAACCCCCGGCAAACATCTGTGAGCACCTGTGTTGTTCCAAGTGCTGGGGAGTCAAGACAAGAAGAGGGTCTTGTGGGTCTCAAAACCAACGGTGGGACAGTCGCTGTGAAGCGGTCGGTTAAACGCAGAGAGCTGCTTTTGGAAACAGGCCGGCCGTTCCTCGAACAGCTAAAAAGTGCCGCGGGACTCGGCGGTTCTACCCCCGGGTACGTCCCTCCAAGGGAACCGAGAACACACGTCCGCACAAAAACCGGCGCGCGGCTTGTAGCGGCATTGCTCCTGGCGATCAAACAGTGGAAACACCCGAATGCCTCTCCCCCGATGAATGCATAAACAAACTGTGGTTCGTCCATACGACACAACGGGATACTATGTTGCAATCAAAACAAACGAAGTATCGCTACGTGCGGCAGCGTGGATGAACCCGGAAAGCACGCTCAGCGAAAGAAGGCCGTCTCAAGGGATCACACACTGTGTCATCTCACTTACCTGAAACGTGCAGAACAGGGAAATCCACGGACACAGAGGGAAGACTGGTGGCTGCCTAAGGGCTGGGGCGGGGCGGGGTGGGGCTGGGAGTGACTGCTGATGGGTAGGAGGCCTGCCTTGGGGGAGACGAAAATGTTGCGCACTGAGACGGTGAGGATGACTGCACAACCTCGTGCACGTACTAAGGACTTTCGGGTTGTACACTTCACGGAGGTGAATTGTACGGTATCTGAACTGTACCCCAGTAAAGCTGGGTTTGTTGTGTTTGAAGTGCTGAGACTGCAGTCCCCACAGGATGCCGGCCAGGACCGGGGAGGGCTCGCTGCGCGCTTCGTGTTCTTCACACCGACACCACTAGCTCGCCCTCCGCGCTGCTTCCTGGAAGGCCCCCGGCGTTGTCAGTTGCGAAGGCTTCCTCTGGTTTGAAACAGGAACTGTCCTCGTGAGACTGTTCCTTTGTTTAAATAAATAAGCAAATGCAATCTGTTGTTATAAAAAAACACCCAAACCCGTATTTTCTAGTTACGAGTTCTACATAGAACTTCTGGAAAGCTAGAAAAAGAAAGGGAAAATACTGATTAGGGAAAACAAAGCTTGCCCTGGCTGGTTCGGCTCAGTGGTTAGAGCCTCGACCCGAGGACTGAAGGGGCCCGGGTTGATTCTGGCCAAGGGCACGGACCTCGGTTGCAGGCTCCCCCGAGCCCTGGGCGGTGCGCCTGCAGGAGGCAACCGATCGGGGTGCCTCTCTTACTTGGTCTCTCTCTCTCCCTTCCACTCTCCCTGAAAAGCAACCGAGAAATATCCTAGGGCGAGGGTTAGAGAAGAAAACAAGGCTTTTCTTCTGGGTCCAGCCGTATCACAGACCTCCATCGCTTCCTTCCTCACCTTCTGGGGAGTGTCCGAGGCGGGGCAGAGGCGTGCGGCCCGGGTGAGAAGGTGTGTGCAGATGGAGAGGCGACGCAGGTGACTCCGTGGGATGTGACAGGATGTATACAGGGCGACTGACTTGCGGGAAGATTGGGTCGGAGCGGAACAGGCAGCCCGGCAGTCCTGTGCAATTATTCTGTGCCCCAGGCCCCTGTAACTCGGGTGCTAATGACCAACAAGACAGAGGGACAAGGAATGCAGTCGTGCGGCCGATGGAAATGGGTTTCGTGGGGTGTCTTGAGAAAGGCACTTTGGGGACCGGGCATGGGAGGAGACGCATGGTGGTGAGACGTACCGAACCCGAGCTCCACAGAGGACTGTCCCGGGTCCGCTCGGTCTCGCTGTGGAAGGAACCCGGCCTCACCATCGAGCCCGGAGCGAAGACCAAGCGCCAGAAGTTCTGCGCCGTCGGTGCAGCCGGTGCGGAAGCTAGTGCACTTCAGCTCAGCCTCGGCCCGCGGGCCAGCTGGGGCTCTGTTCCCGCTGGGCTCTGGCCCTGC